GGTTGACCAATTAACGCTATCTGAGGACGTTAGATTAAATGACGTAAGATTAGGGCAGAGTCATGGTTGTTATAGGCTGGGTGAGGTTAGCGTCAGGGTGGTTAGGATAGGTTAGGTTAAGTTAGCATTAGGGTAATTTAACTTCAGGTGAAATAAGCTTCAAGGCCGAATTTCCAGGTGATCCCATGCATGCTTAGAATCAACTCAGAGTGGCTTACGGTCTTCGTATGTTACACAACTACGCTTAAAACTTGATATGTTAAAGTCGAATTTTACACATAGGTACACATTTTAAACCTGTGTGTGCAAATTATACGCACATGCGACAACAATCCACACGTATGTACGAATTTAAAAAAAAACGACATGAACAATGTTTATGCACGTACATGAAAATTTTTACAAGCATATATTTACACATCCTAAACGTGTGTAGAATTTTTAATGCACGTCTATACAGATTGTTCACATATCTAGTCATATTTAAACATTTATATAAAAATTATACCCAAATACATAAGACTCTTGGACACACACACACACACACAAACACACACTTTACATCTGCATACACATTTCACGCACATATGTACAACTCTTAAACACATGCTCATAAGATAACACGTGCAAATATGAACTCCGTTTACTAGAGACCCACATACAGTACACGGCTCTGTGATATCTTGTTGTTGTTGTTTGTTGTTTTTTTGTGTGAACTCTGACCCCTAAATTTGACCTCTTATGACCATTTAACAGGCTCGAGTTGTTAATACCCCAATGACCAGTTACTTCAGAGAGAGAGAGAGAGAGAGAGAGAGAGAGAGAGAGAGAGAGAGAGAGGTCAGGTCAGGTCACGAAATGGGGTTGAGGATTTAGATCATGGAACTAACACAATTGGATTTACTCTTTATTGAATGTGATAATAACTTACATTAGTAGATGATCTGATTTCCTTTCATTGTAATAGCCGAATCCCTTGAGTACGGTGAGTTAATCCCTCGAGTATGAAGACTTAATCCATTGAGCATGATGACTTTTCCGCATGAGTACGATAACTCAATTTCTCGAGTACGATGACTTAATTCCTTGAGTACAACTACTTATCCTCATCAGTACGATGACTTTATTCCTTGAGCATGATGACTTATCCCCTTGAGTACAACGGCTTAATCCCTTGAGTATGATGACTTAATACTTTGAGTACGATTAATTAATCCCTTGAGTATGACGACTTATCCCCTTGAGTACGATGACTTAATCCCTTGAGTACGATGGTTTAATCCCTTGAATACAATGACTTAATTCGTAAAATTTAATTGTTAAATTCCTTGAGTACAATGACTTAACCCTTGTGAATACAATGATATATTTTCTTGAGTAAGATTACTTTTCCTCTTGAGTTCGATGACTTTACTTCTTGAGTACGATAGATAGCACCATGAATAGCAGAATGATGCCCTCGAGTACTTAATAGTCTGAGTATGATGACTTAACCCTTTGCTTGTGATGACTTAGTTTTACAAATGGACTTAGTTGACGACTTGAATACGTAACCCTTTAAGTATGACTAAGTAACCCCTTAAGTATGACGGTTTGCTCTTTAAATATGACGACTTTACCCCAGAATAATACGACAATGAACCCCATACACACACTATCATACTGTACATTACAGCACCAGGAAATAATGTTCACATGATTAGAAAACTATTAGTAGCAGTAGTATAATAATTCTGATTTTGTATAGATTGTTGCCCCCCCCCCCCTTCAGGGGTGGCCCACACACCCAAGCCCACGCACATAAGTCCCTACTACCCGGACACTGCTGCCAACCTGTCACCTCTTTGGCCCTTTTCATAAGAACTAGATTCCTCCGAATGAGACAAATGCAGGCGTCAGTGGCAGACATCCTGTGAAATGGCACTCGCGACCCGTATTAACCAAGTGTCTTGAGGTCATAATTGGAGATCCGAGTCACTCATGTACGTGTCACCCTCCCTCACTAGTTACTCTTATTGCTCGAAGGTATGGAGCATTATGCCGGGTAACTGTCGTTGCAGCTGTTCTCGCCGGAACCAAAATTGCACAAACTGTGAATGTGTGAGAAACAACCGCCGATGTGTGGGTGCAGGACGGGAAACAATTGTCTGAATCCCCAGGGCAGGGATCCGTCAACACCGCTTGGCGATATCCTGAATGATAGCAGTGAGTCCACCGAGTCTGAAAATGTGGTGCCAGGAAATGCTGCTCCAACATTAGCAGATGTACACAGGGTGAATGACGGACAGCCATCACATTGGAAAGGCATGTCGAGCGAAAATGCAGAGAAGTAGGTCATAGAAACCTACTCAGAAGTTGTCGGGTGGTCTCCAATTAACCTCTTTGAACCACCAAAATGTGGGGCCACCAAAGAAATGATCCGGGAGATGACTCGCCTCATGCACCCATGACAGCTCCTTGGCCCCAATAGCTCTCCACATCTCGGCAATAATACCGCATCCATTCTGCCAGAGAACACACGCAAGGAGTAAGTGCAAGAAAAATGTAGCTGCAATGAAGAGAAGAAAGACACTGTGGCAGAGCGGGGCTCTTGATGATCTCCTAAGTGAGGCAAGAACACTGCAGCAGAGACCGAAATGTACAAGAAACGGAAAGCAGGTGACTGTGGATGTTGCCAGAAAGTTTGGTAACAAAATGCATGTGGGAAAAGTGTACTCGGCGGTAAGATCTCTCACAGAGGAATCTTCCAGTGGTATGCTACCAATAAACAGAGATACCTTACAACAACTGAAGGAAAAAATCCCCCTTTAAGTGCAGAGGAAGGCATCAGGTTCCCGGGTGACTATATCCCTCCAAACGCTGTCATGTTCAAGAAAATAACAGGAAGGATGGTGTGGAAAAAAGCACTGAAGACACAGGGAGGGGCCGGCTCTACAGGTCTGGATGCAGACGGGTGGAGAAGCATCCTCAGGACTAACAAGTTTGGCGAAGTAGCAAGTGATCTTTGCAATGCCACCGCCGTTCTTGCAAGAAGGCTAGCAACTTCATGCTGTTATCACCTACAAGCTCCGGAGACCTGCCGCCTCCTCCCTTGAATAAAAGCCCAGGATGTAGGCCTACAGGGGTGAGGGAAGTGCCGAGACGGATCATTGGAAAATGCATAATGGAGGTGGTCATTGGCGTTGTAAGAGCAGCTGCAGGGAACGTGCAAGTGTGTGCTGATCACCAGGTGAAGCTGCCATTCACACCATGAGAAACGTATATGAGCAGCGAGAGTGTGATGCAGTACTCTTGTTTGACGCTTCCATCATAATCAACTGCAAGGCTACACTGCACAACATCAAGATCAAGTGACCAAGCTTTGCAATGTATGTGCAATGTAAGTTGAAACCACCTACAAGAACCCGACTGAACTCTATATAACAAGCGTCAAGGCCCAAAGAGGAGATACCACCATCCAGTCAACTGAGAGAACTACGCAGGGGGTTCCAGTTGCCATGGCAAAGTACGCAATAGGTTTATCCGTGTTGCAACACACAATTAACGATGAAACAACCAATGTCAAGCAGGAAAAGTGGAGGACATCGAAAAATGGTGGGACCTGGTAACATCACATGGTCAAAATAACTAAGGACGGCTAAAGACATCTAGGTACGGTAATCGGCACGAACAATTTCAAGACCGAGTACGGCAGCAAAGTGATAAACATCAACAACTGATGCTGCAATTGTCGGAGAACTTGAAAAAAATAGTAGCTATAGCACAGGAGGTGGGCGCCTCGAACTGGCTAACAACGTTACCGATAAGGGCAAAAGGCTTCAGCCTTAATAAACAAGAATTCACAGATGCCATTACGGTAAGGCATGCTTGGCCAGTAGAAGGAGGTTTCCCCCTCCCAATGCGTGTGTGGCACATCCTACGACATCGACCCTGCAATGGTGCGTAAAAAAGGGGGCTTCGTATGCATAAGGCATGACGAAGTAAGGGATCTCACAGCAAATATGTTGAAGGAAATCTGCCATGATGTCACGGTGGAACCGATCCTCCTTCCATTGGTCGGTCAGAATCTCTATCACAGGACTTCAAACACACCCAACGAGGCCCATGTGGACATCAGCGCTCGAGGATTCTGGACGAGGGGAAACGAGCCTCCTTTGACATAAGGATTTTCGACCCTATGGCCGCATGCCACCGGTACCTAGCTCTCGATGCTACACACAAGAGGAAAAAGAATGAGAACAGGGCATAAGGGGAGAGAATTCAGAATATTGATCAAGGCAGCTTCACTCTCTGGTGTTCACAATCTCTGCCGGGATGGGGCCAGGTGCAAGATGTTTCTATGCAAGACTGGCCAAGGTGTTATCCTAACAGAAGCGGCAGCCCAAAATTTACATTGCAGCCTGGTTGAGATGTCGAATGTCCTTCCCTCTGCTTAGGTCTGCATTGCTTTGCCTCGGGGGAATGAGATCTTCGGCCCCAAATCCGACAATGATCGCAGTTATTGACTATGAGACAACAGTCACTGAATGCCGCATAGGTACAGAAAAGGGCTTGCAGAATCATGCTCGGCGCAGAATACTCCGGCTACACCAACGCTCTCTCCACCCTGGAAATGCAATCCCTCAGTGACCTCCACCACCAAGCACTGGAAAGGTTTGGCAGTGGACTACTGCACCACCCTCGTCATCGCCACCTTCTGCAGCCCCCCACCCAACTCGCGCAGTCCGCCACTACAACAAAATTCAGCCCATAAGAGCCCGCACCGATAGATATAAGAACAGCACCATCCCATCTATTGTTAAAATAATAAACAACTCCTGATTTATGTACTGTACAGCCCTGTAAATGTATTCAATGCATATTATATCATTATGTCTAAATCAAATGTAAGTCTGTATATTTTCAGCCACCGGCTGCAACTCTATTAATAAACCGTTTATTATTATTATTATTTATTATAGATCTGCTGCTTAACAAACTCAACACAGCTAGGGTAGCTAATTTTGTATAAGGATATTTAATTTTAAGGCAATAAAATGGCGGCGAAGGTGTGGCAATTGGGGGAGGTTGGAGGCCACGTTAATTAAAAAAGAAGTAGTAGTAGCAGTAGTATGCACCGAGAGGCTTACCTCGACAGGTTAAACGTTTCCACCAAGCTACGGCTCCCAACACAATTATACTTAACCTACTGTACTTAAAATTCGCTGGCTGTCATACGTCAAAATGAAACATGCAGTAAAATTGTTCAAGGAGGAGGAAAAGACCTTGTTTTTCATTTTTTATTTTTATCCTCTAGACTAGTGAAAGAAAATTCAGAACAACAGAGGAAATATGTATTCTTTTGAGCCGGTAACTAATTTACCATTGTTTTTTTATATAAAATTAATTATTCGTCGCGTATATTTTGTTTACATAATTAATTTCTAAGAGTATACAGATCGCCATCGCCATTCTGTGTCGCTGGTGCTTTGAAATCCATAATTGATCAGATGATGAGTTTTGTTTTTAAATCCGGCATAAAAGCCTTTCTGCTGTGCGTATGGCTGCTTGAATCATTCATATATTGCTCAGCCAGTGGGAATTCTCGCAGAACTTTTCTTGTGGATAAGTCTTATTAAAATTGGAATCTAAAAAAAGTTGGCCGTGACGCAAGCTATAACTAATCTGTCTTTTTGAATCCGTACAGCACTCTAAACAAATTTATTAATTTTCAAACACTCATGTATGTATTTAATCAACATTTATGAGTCCAAAACTATGAATGAGTCATTACTAAATTTCTAGGCTTCAGAGACTGACTATTGCAGATCAATGTGGGGAGGCTGCGGCTTGTCTGCAACGCGCGGCCAGTCGTTGCCTTTGATAAAATCCATTGAAAATATTTGTCGACATATTAACTCAACATCAGTTTCGCAACAAAGTATATCACTTTAAATTTCCATTCATGTTTTAAGCTAACGTACTTTAAAAATCAATAATGAAAGCAAATGAAGTCATTCATTGTCCAGTACAGGGTAGTTTGTGTCATCAAAACCAAGTGCGTCGCTCAGATACAGTCCTGATAATATATATACAGTATATATATATATATATATATATATATATATATATATATATATATATATATATATATATATATATATATATATATATATATATATATATATCCAGCAGTATAACGTTAACGTTACTAAAGATGCATTTTTTCTTCAAATTTCAATGACTGTTATTAGTATATAAGCTGATTCATCAGAAGTGATTAAAGCCTTAGTTATAGAACACCAATACAGTTGATACCGCATTAACAGCACACCGTGAATGTTGAGAGTTAAAGGTGATGGCGGGATGGATACACGTAATCAACTGCTATATATCACCTGTTATTAATGGTGTTTGAAAAAGTTGAAAGGACAATCCCCTGATCCCAATCAATCAAAACACCATAAAATATTTTGTACCATCAGAGATGTTTTTATAACACGCTTTAACCCGCTTCTACACGGATCACAGATGTCAACATGGCTCCGGATTTTCAAAGAACTGCACATTTATTTTCCCCCGTTAACATGTAAGACAGAACATTTCCAGGTAGAAGAGTCTCTTAGTGCAGTTTCGATGCGAATTTTTGCACTAAATTTTGCCGGGAATGTAGTTTACGGTGAGACATAATCCACTACCAGTTCGGGGAGTAATTCACTGCAGAAATAAGGGATATGGACTTGTGCCCTAACAAGTACCGTACATGGGTTACAATATATACACACAGACACACATAGAAACAGACAGAGAGAGACAGACAGACAAACAAACACACACACTTACACACACAGTAGTTATCATCACCAACCAACTCCATTTTGCAGGAGAAACATTTGTCAGTATCATGTTGTAGAACTAGCATGGCGGCGGCTGGCAGAACCTCAGCTTAGTGCTGCTCATGGCTCACATCTCGCGCCCAGATAATATGGTAAGCTGCTCATGGCTCACATCTCGCGTCCAGATAGTATGGTAAGCTGCTCATGGCTCACATCTCGCGCCCAGATAGTATGGTAAGCTGCTCATGGCTCACATCTCGCGTCCAGATAGTATGGTAAGCTGCTCATGGCTCACATCTCGCGCTAAGATAGTAGGGTAAGCTGCTCATGGCTCACATCTCGCGTCCAGATAGTATGATAAGCTGCTCATGGCTCACATCTCGCGCCCAGATAGTATGGTAAGCTGCTCATGGCTCACATCTCGCGTCCAGATAGTATGATAAGCTGCTCATGGCTCACATCTCGCGCCCAGATAGTATGGTAAGCTGCTCATGGCTCACATCTCGCGCCCAGATAGTATGGTAAGCTGCTCATGGCTCACATCTCGCGCTAAGATAGTAGGGTAAGCTGCTCATGGCTCACATCTCGCGCCGGGAAGTGAGGCCAGATACTATCATTATGTTTTAAGGGTGAAGTGAGATTATGATTCAACACTTTTCTCCGATGTTGTGAACTCACAGCATAGAAAACCTCAGCAGTTTTTGTAAACCGATAACATTAAACCTCGTCAGTGTTGTAAGCTTACAGTAAAGTCAACCTCATTAGTGCTGTGAGCTTACGACACATCATCCTGCCTTCCAGTATTGAAAGCTTACAACACAGCTGACTTTCAGTAAGTTCATGTCGCCATTTCTTCAGTGGCGTGAACTTGTGATGATATGGGAATATATATCACTGTGTTCTGTTGGGTCTTTAAAAGTAATAAATGTTTATCGCCCTCAGGAACATTAGTATAGTTTGTTCGTCTGTTAGTGTGTTTCATTGTTGTACAGGAAGAACCATGAGGGCCAGGATGTTCATAATTGTCATGAATATCCTCCAGATGAGTGCCAAGGTCAAGTTGATACGCTCATATAAAGGTCACCTCCTCACAGCACCCGTCTGTCTGTGTGTTTTCTATGACCCTTGGATTCCTCGGCGCGGACGATTTGCTCTTTTAAATGTTTGTATAAATAAAAATATGATATATATGACTACCATAAATATTGATATATGATTAGTGCATAAGTCATGTGATGTGTCGTTAGCTCACAGACGATTCTTGAAGATGCGGTTAATTCCATAATGACACTGACAGTACGGGCTAAATTGTCTTAGAAAATAATGGATATGTTATATATACAACATCATACATCAAGATATTAGTCCTTAACATCATAAGACACATACAGTATATATTTATATATCATTTGTTGTAACGTTTGTTTTGTCTTATTCTCATCATCGAGATAACATGATTCCGTAGGTTTTATCAAAATATCCGTCCATCAAGAGTATAAACAAACAAGAACCAATCAGGAGCGGAGATGTGAGGAAGGGGGCGGCGGGAGAGGCTGTGAGTTGCTCTGATTCGTCGCTGTGGCCGTTGTGCAGGGCTGCATGCTTCTCCTCTGTCGGAATAAATAAAAGGGGTTTCGTCAATACACACACACACACACACATATATATATATATATATATATATATATATATATATATATATATATATATATATATATATATATATATATATATATATATATATATATATATATATACAAAACCTACAAGACGAGTATTGTGTAATATAAAAGACATATATACATACTCGTACATGCTTGAATACATCCGTATTGGCCTTAACACCAATAAATTGGGGGATTTGACATGTAAACGAGTTTGAAAGTTGTGAAAGTACTGTAAAGAATTATAATGCGTTTTTTCTTTACTGATTGTCACTTGCGCTACCCCACACAAGTTGAAGTCGTGTGCTGGAAATACAAAGTGATGTCATACCAACAGCGAGGTAGCGAGGTATAATCCTGGCTACTGGTGTACTGTACTTTTCTGTGTTGTATCTATTGTTGAACACGACGTTCCCGGAGATAATTACATGTAGGAAACAGACGTGAGGCGTTCATACATGACAGCAACAATAGTTAGAGTGGAAGGATTGTTATGAAGGAGAAACTGAAACAAACTGATCTGAATTATCCCCCACTCGATGCATACCTTTTACCTGACACCTCGACTTTATACCGATTTATTTGAAGCGTAAATATAACGTGTGTTTATATAGATATTCAGTAATAGCATATCAAGGTTAATCGGTTAATGCAGTTTGCCTAAAGACCGTGTTAATATATCCTGAAGTGATAAATGTATTGTGTTAACGCCACAGTACGGTCAGTGACTCAGTGTGTTGCTGGTGTTTTGAACTCCAGTATTAATCACAGCTTGCTTTTACAGTAGCTTTGGGACCCGGCAGCAAGAACTCGCTCATGTCGTAATACATGTGTTCGACTCACACAAGCGTTGCTCAGCGGGAAGGAAAATGTTTATAGATCCTTTCACTAGTATGTTAGGGAGGGAACTTAGCGGCGTTGGTCGTGATGTGGGTTATAACTTATCTCTCTCCTGAAGTTTGTTCAATGGTTTTCGTCACCACAGAGAGTTCTATCTCTCATAATTTTTTACTTTGTTGGACTAGTGTATTACTAACCTTATTGCGCGCTTATACACCTTCGTTGTTGAAGAGCAGTAATAACATTATAATAACAACAATGGTTTTTGTCGTCCTTTCTCAAAACTTATTTTCTGGGGATAGTTTTCTTTTTTACTACAGTATATCATATTAGTAAATGTGTGGTTCACTTTACAACCAGTACTAAAGAGTAATTAAACTATTTTGTCACGTATGCTTTCATAATCTCTCGTAACATAATTCATTCACTATTCATCACCTCAAAAAGTAAATAATGATGATGTTGATGTTATACGTAATGTATTACTGCTGTTTAATGAGTTAGGTCTTTAAGTATGAACACAAGATTAAAGCATAAAACTATTCGTCAGTAGTAAGAAATTAAGAGATACATTTCTCTGGTGTGAATGATGAATCGCTATAAAATTTTTGTGACTTATTTTTACCAAACGTATATTATATCGACAATCGAAATGTTAGGATCTTCAGTTCACCGCCACAATACATTTGATACAAATTAGTCACACAAGGATGACCTCCAAATTTATCTTTAAAAACCAGTTGCTAGGATCTGTGCCCCAGGATGGACACTATATAACTCATGCTCTCAAATGAAAGTCTCCCCAACCTGTACAGTACGTCAGTTTATCATCCCTCGGAAAGGAAAATTTAGATGAATTGAAGTTTATATTAGTATTGTGTTCTTTTAGAGTTCAGCAAATCTTTATGATCAACATTATGGTCATAAAGTGATAGTTCAAGTACATACGGGAGTTAGGGAAGTGGAACAGTTATGTAAGTATTGCATATAATTAGCCGTTATATGTTTGTCCATTATATTTCCCAAGCACGCCTCCTCTCGGGGAAACCATTAGCCATTACTATGAAATAAACAACATTAGTGGAGTACCGTAATGCGATTTTAGCAAACTCTATAACTCCTGAATTCATATATCTCACCTTTACACCTTACAACAGGGGTCACCAAACTTTTTTCACAGTGGGCCGGATAACTGAAAGAATGACGACCGCGGGCCGCATAATATTTAAATTTAAATTGTATCACAACGTCTCGTGTTCCATACGTTTTATCAAGCAAATTCAAGTACCGTCGGCGGGCCTGATGAACTGACGTCGCGGGCCGTAGTTTGGTGACCCCTGCCTTACAATATACACAGACTCAACATATACGATGTCAACAAACTGTAGTGTTATGATTTTGTCCGAAATTCAGTGTTGAAGTCAGCGCATGCGTAAAATAACGTCACGAGTTGGTTGTAAGAGCAGGTTGAAATTCATTACGGTAAAATACAGTACGGAGGTGGACATCAAACAGAAGTAGACCTCGAGGACGGCCACATTAAAGGTGGTGTGATGCCATAACCGAAGACCTGAAGATGGTGGGACTTGAGCCAGAGGGGGGGACG